AACAGCCTGATCAAAAGACAACACAGCGCTAAATGGTCAGCAAGATGGGTAATACAAAACAGGCACATGGCATGGATCGCGAATGGAAGAGAACCAGAAATAGATTGGGATACAACATTCCAAACCAAACAACCATCAAAAATAACGAGTGGCAAAACAGACAGACAAGACCATAGCAGCAGAAGCTTCAGATATAGAAATGCCGACATATGACAAGATGAAAACAAGAAAGCCAGACCTATACGCAAAAGCAACATGTCTGTACTGTGACAAAGAAGAAACACTACAACACCTCATACACGAGCATTGGAAAGAAAAGATTACTGAGAAATACAACAAAGCAATTAGACAAGAAACGAGTGCCAGGAGCAAGAAGAAAACAAATAACACAAGGAAGAATCCAGCAAACTCCAAGCTTATAGACTCAGAGCACACAAGAAATCTGATAACAAAAGGTGTATTCACAAAAGAAACAACAGAATACATCAAAAGTCGAGTAGGAACAAAAGTAAAAGAGACATGTGAGGCAATAACAAAACATATGGAAGAAGCAATCAAAAAATGGTGGAAGGAAAGATGTGAAAAAGCAATGGAGTGGGAAAGGAAACACAATATCACATCGGTTAAGAAGAGGGAAAAAATGACCTCACAGCAGGGAAAAAACAAAGAGGAAACTAGGTTACGAAGCAATAAAAAAAAGGAGACAATAGCAAAAACATGGACAAGAAAAATGACAAAATGGTACATCGAATTCAAATGGAACGAAAAGCATAACAATTTCTCAAACATTCTATTTACTAACACTAATGGAGCCTTGGCACATTAGTTTTTGATCACTTTTCCAAAACCTAGGTTTTAGAATAAATCAAATAGCTCAAAGCCGATATTTGGCCTAAAAACCCGATATAGCCCTCTATACAAGCGAATTATAGTTAGAACATAATTGTATTAACAACATATGTAAAAACTTAAAATTAATAAAGTATAAAGGGCAAGGCCCAACTAGTGGTTAAAAAAAAAAAAAAAAAAAAAAAAAAAAACAATTGCTCTATATACAGTATATTAAAGTTTTTAAAAAAAACTTTGACAATATTAGTTTAATATAGTTTAATTTTAATTAATAAATTATTTTATACCTTAATTTCCAAAATACATTTATTTCAAGATAAATTAAATAATATTGAAAATTATTATTATTAATCACTTTTTTTTTTTTAAAGGTGTAAATGATTTACATTATAAAAAAAAATAATTATATTATTATAAATCAATATTTTTAAAATTTTAAATCAATATCAATAAACCTTAATACATATCGATTTTTATCTAAATCAATAATAATTGGTAGAAGAGATTATAATTGATATGTATTTAGGATGTTATTAATTGATATATATTACCCTATTTATTTTGCTAATGTAAATAAAAATTTATTTATTTTATTTTATTTATTTAAATAATAATAACTATATTACAATAGTTTATTATAAAATGGATATCTTTATCTTTTTTATAATAAAATGGGAAAAGAAATAAATATTAATATCAAAGCCTTCAATGTAGTGATTTGTCTTGACTTTTACAATATTACTATTATGGCAAGATAATAATATATAGTTAAGGAAAAGCAAATTTTTGACATTTAGAAGATATTATTTTTTTTAGCCAAATACTTTCCAACCTATATATATGATATATTAAATATAATATATTTATAATAAAATTATCATTAAATATTAAAGCTTGGATAATAATTATAATAATATTGAGTTGACAAATCTAAAATCTTGATTTTTTTGTTTAATTTCTTTTAATTTTAGTAAAAACAAGTTTACTGTACTCTTATATACTCAAGATAATATACAATCTGAAATAAAAAAATTATCTTTAATATTTTTATTATAACTTTATAAAAATTGTTTAAATAATATAAAATTTTAATATATATTTTTTTAAAACTTAAAGAATATGATTATTTAAGATTTTTTATAAAATATATTATTATATAAATTTTATAAATAAATTTTATATATTTGATATGAAAATAATGGTTTCATTGGTAAGCTCAATATATTGGGAATAATTCATGCAATGGAAATTTTGATTCTGTTTCAAGATCGAAAATGGGAGCAAGTAGAAGTTAATGAAGTTTTTATTACCAATAAACCCAAGCTTGAATCTGTACTGATATTGAATCGGCTATGGTTCCAAGAAAATGTAATGAAACTAGACTTTCCAAATAAAACTCTTACATTGCTCAATGGAATTAGTTGCAAGGTTAAGTATATATGCATAAAATTTTGTAATACAATAAATATTAATTATTTATTGCAATAGCAAATTTCCATATTTCACAAATTCATATATTTCACAAATTCATGCATATGATACAGTATATTTTTTATCTAGATTCAATAATGCATTTGCTGAATCCTTAGCAGTAATTATATCACTAATTGCTTCAGATAATAAGTATGTAGCTTCTAATCTTAATTTTCTAATCATTTATAGATTGTAACGGTCTAACGGCAAGTCAGTCCCTAACTCTAGCAGAGATTCATGTAACCGTTACTAGGTAAATGTATGAAAGGGTGATTTGAGGCATGTTTTTATTTGATCAAGTCTTTATTAATTTTTTTACTTAATTCCTTGTCTTCTTCTTTTTACTTCTCTATACTTTACATGTTATTTATACTTTACATTTGGCTATGACAGCTTAAACATAGTAATAATTAATGATATGGTGACATGGCTAAAGCTAAATTACATAATTCTTTTAAGTTATATCAGAGTATTGCAAATCTATGGCAGAGTACAAGATAAGTTAAGTAAATATGGTGAAATTATATTATTAACAATATTAAAACATCAGAAGCATGTTACAGTTTGCAAAATATAATCTACCAAAGTATGTATATAAGCGTTTATTAAAACTAGGATATGTAGAAATTACTGGGATAATTTTGTATTTCGTATTAAAAATAATTTGACAAGCTATAAGCAAATAGATAAAAAAATTGTGAAGTTTCTTGTCATATAAAACGTTGGAAGAACTGAAGGACATACTCCGCAAATATAAAATCAATAGTGAGGATATAACGAACATCAAGCAGTTTAATCCAGGTATGTGGTACTTTATTTTATTTTTTCTTGGCAATTTTTGACAGGGTCTCGGCCGAAATTTTCAGATATACAATAATTCATTTTCTTATTATATAGTTTTCAAGGAAATAAATGACAACGACAAAGCCCTCGAACAATGTATGAACGAAATAATACTATGGTTAACGAATGTAAAATCAATAATAGAGGCTAACGAAGCAACGCGTTGTGAATTTATTTCATCTGTATTACACGCATCAATATCAATTGCGAGAAAAATGACCAATAAAGAAATCCATATAGAATTGCAGAGGGATATTTCAGGTGAAGAAGCATCTGGAAGAGTTGATTACGCTATAACTGGATGGAGGATCTTTTATGTATCACTGAGGAAAAACCACAAAACGTTAAGATTGGTTACCTTCAAAATATAAAACAACTCGAGAGTTTCTTCCATATGAACAAGAAGAAGCGAACTGCGAATGAAGCATTTAAGACCGAGGATTATGACTATCTATATGCAATTGTGTCAACTGATATGTGAAAATTTTCTATTATGGAGCAGATTCAAAGGACAACTCTCAATCATTATCTTCGTTCTGACATTGCTAATTATCGGATTTATTTTAAGGCATTTTATCATGTTCACCTCCGAAGGAATTTTTTGTACTAGTAATAGTGAATATCAAATAAATCTTACGAAAAAAGCGCTTAAGGGTAATCAGGAAAATCTGAAGAAAGATATAAAACAGGTGGTCGGTATAATTGTGGGGCTATTGAATGATAGGGTTTCTGCATGTGATGAACCCGAAACCAAGAAGCGACGTGTACAAGAAAAAATTAAAAAATAACGGGTGGATAGTTTAGATATAGAAATATCCTCACTTCGTGAGATCGTCTCATATGTATTTTAGATATCTTAGATATCAGCTCGGCTATATTGTATTAATAAAACAATCAAACCTAAATGGTCATTTTTTTTGAGAATTAATTTTTGTGTGGTGTTATCATATGATAATTTTTTATAAATTCACTTTTGAATATATCTGTATTTTATTTTAAAAATGGCAAACACAATACAAAACCGATGAGTTAAAAACCCGAGACTCCGTCTCTTCATTGAAAGAATTAAATTCAAGGCTCTTGTCGGAGATAGCTGAACTTAGGAAGAAGTTTGCTGAGATCGAGGGCAAGAATGCTGAACTTGAGGTTGAGAACACGAATCTGAGGCAGGTTATTGATAAGAATAGTAAACGTGATGCTAGAGTTGGGGAACTAGAGCAAAAGAATATGGAGCTTGAGAATAGACTCGCTATATTAGAACAGGAGAAAAAGGTATTTCTACAGATGTTTCGCACTCTCCAGTAAATTTTAATGATACTCATGAACAGATAATCTCACGTAATGAGGAGTCTAACACATATAGCCACTCTGTGACTGCCTCCGGCAATTCTGATATATGTCAGAATCCGGTAACCCCACATCTCCCGCAGAAACCATATCATTGGAAGAGAAGGAAGAAAATGTATTCCTGAATTCAAAATATAGGGAAACGGTTAGAAAAGAGATTATTCAGAACATTAAAGAAAAGAAACTTCAGGATCAAGAATCACTTACAATACTTCCTGAAGAGGAAAGACCTCAAGACCTCAACTCAGATGCTCATTCACGCAATAGCATATCATCCGAAGCATCGGCTAATTCAGATGGTAGTAAATTACCTCCAAAAGGCAAAATATGTAGCGAAGCGAATTCAAAGTGTAAGAAAAGTCTAGGCAAGCTTAAGCGAGAATTATTTACTCCTGAGTTGTCTTCACAAGAGCCATCAATAGAACAATATCATGCAACTGAAATTTCCGAGACATTATGTCCCGGAAAAGTTACTTCTGGTGACAATTCTAGCATTGATAAGGCCTCACAACATCTAGCTCAGTTATGTGATAAAGCTTTTGATGCTGAAGATAGAGCGAATCGAGCTAATCAGAAGGAAATTTTATGCTGGTCCCTCTATTCGAAGGATTTCAGAATTCAGCTCAACGAGATTATAGAAAATAGCGGCGGTAAAATTGGTGAAAAGAAAGCAAGAGGCTTACTGTATGATTCCATTACAGAACAGCTTAATTTACTTCGCAAACAAATATCCCAAGAATTAGGTTTACAGCTTCGAGACATATCACGAGATAGTTTGCGCAAGAAAACTCAGAGCTGAGAAAGTCTATAAATTTTTCGAAAAAGTGGGCCATGATAAAATCAAATACATAAAATCATATAGTGCAACTTCTATTTCAGAACTTACTGATGAGCAAATTAAAGAGGTTATAGATTATGAGATATCTTCAGAAAAGTTACCTCTAGTAACAGATTCTAACTTGGAATCATCTGATGATGAGAAATCCTACGATGGAGACACTAATAATAATGGCGATATTGACGTGAATCAGCTTCCAGTTGAGAATTTCTTTGATGATGACTCCCGAAGTGAGGATACTAACGCAACTAGGGATAATGAAAATGATGACGAATTCTACGATAACAACGAAGAGGAAGATGATGATGGAGAATATTGTGGTTTCTCTGACGATGATGAAGGTTATTATTACTATTTAAATACCGGTGAAACTTATACAAAATCGGATCGTCGTTGTTCAATCCGCGCATATTAATTAATGGGTCATGACCTCACATCCCCGATTGGATAGAACCTCATTTATGGAATAAAGATGTAAGGTTTTATATTAACCGACATTCGTGAAACCAAATTTTCGGTTATTAAGACATTTTTTCGCCTATCGCCTTCGGACGTAATGCTAATTCTTCATTTAAGATCGCCCAGTCCGAGATAGCAGAAGGTATGATGAGGGTGCGATGTAGACACGATAAATTTTTTTCCTATATAATTGTATGAAAAACAGGTGTACCTTAGTTGGGTTGCGTTAAATTCTTGTATATATATCGGAAAGCATAAAATGGTGTCCACGTGATTGTGTAATTCCGAGATTGGCGCATTCTCGAAGTTTAAAAGCATGAGACTGATAAGTCAGATCTGTGCGACATTCGATTTCCCATCTATTCGTGCCGTACTATTGTACCATGTCTAACGTCTATGAAGCAATCAAACTGCTTGATTCAAAAGAGGAAAGAACTACACTACGAACCCTCTTCACTAATAATCCAGAAAAAAGAGCTGAAGCGGAACGCGTCCTTCCTACTTGTGAGGATAATGGAGAGATAGTTGCTTATTTCAAAGAACTCTTAAAGCCTAGTATGCTCTCTTTTAATCGCGTCATATTCACCAATAATATCGAATACTTACTTGTGCTTTTCTTTCCTGCTTCTTATCGTTAAACCCGCCCAAAAAACACATTAGCGTTATGTAGAAGCACTCGTTGCACCCGGTAAGATGAATCGTAATAAGTTTTTAACGCGAATGAATGTGACCTTGCTGGATTTTTCGTTAACCATTTTTTCGTCTTTATTATGTGACATCGAATACATAATCTTGTGCTTGTTTTATTTACTACTCCTTATCCTTAAACCCCCAAAACACGCAAGTTAGAAAAAAAATCAATGATGCTTTTCCGGAAGGTATTTATTAAGCAATTTCTGCAAAAAACTCGTCGTTCTTATGCTGAGGCTGATCGGACGTACTATTTATATGCTAGGGTTGCCATATGTGAAACCAGAACCTTTGCTTTACACTTCTGGTGCTAATTGGGAATATCAACCTC